ATTTGGAACTATATAAAATAAAAGCACATTAAAAGTAAAGTACTATAACCAGCCAGATGTTTCTTGATTTATTTTAAAATGTTAAACCATTATTCAGATTGTAAAGATCGTCTCTCGGCAATGGCTGACAGATGGTCGAGCAGACATGCGATTGTAAAACCCCACCCAGAGGGCTCTGTGGGCGTGACAGGCCAACCTGGCTAGCAGCGCTAACCTCACGGGCATTTGTAGAGCTTCTCAATATTCAGGTTCTTCACAGCGGATTTCGCGCCACAAAACCTCTCAAAAGTGTATTTAGTATTTGAAATAGCGTACAAAACTTGTAAAAACAAACAAAAACCTTTTGCTGCTAGCCTCTTTCTCCGTTGCTATCTGCTTCTTGCATGAATGCTTCTTCTTCGTGAGTAGCCTTACAGTCAAGGCAGACAGTGGAAGTGATACTGCCGCCAGCACTTCCTGTAGTGCATTACCATTAGTAATGAACAACCACAAGTGTTCTTAATAAGAAGATTGCCATCTCCCCCCTTAAACGGCATCTTTGTAATGACACGACGACGACGATATTATTAATAATAATTCAAATTGCAAAACAAAACTGTTCGCGGTTGAAAGCTTTTTGCTGGTTGCACAAAGTTTACAATGGAAGACAATATTCTTTGTATCTCTGTGTGACAATGGCAGTACTTACAGCTGTGGAAAGAACACCTCTCCATAGTTCCCCATTCTTCCTTTGGCTTTTCGGCTAGCAGCTGTCTTGAACAACATTAACCTTAGTTCCGGTGTCGCTGACCTGCAGCACGGTCGTGCATGTTATAGTAATATGCGAAATGAAACAAACAAGCAGATCCAGCTCTGGAATGGGAGTTTATTATTAAGTCAACAAGAATTTAGAAACAATGCGTAATCTACACTGATACAGCGGTTGACTACAGTCTTCTGACCGACTACAGAAGCGCTTTTGCTCAGTGGCTGCGCACGCATCCAGTAGTGTTTGTATACAAGAAACCTGTCTATTAAACGATGAATTGAGTAAATAATTCGCCGATAGTCGGCAATGACAACAACTGATAGTTTCAGCCCTGCTGTGAATCTGTACAATACTGCTGTCAAGTACCTTCAGCATCTGATCACTTGAGTAAGAAAGTTTGAAGTGGGAGGTGTTAAATACTTGTGTGCCAAGTGGTTTGTTTGAGTCATCTCTCAACAGCAGCTTTAAAAAGGTAGTGAATATCAAAGTTTTATCACCAGACATCTCCTAATCAACAAGGCAAGTGGCAACGCAATCAGACAGAAGACAGATGTCTAGATACAGCCGAGTAGAGACATCCTTTAGTTCAACCTGATCAAACTGTCATCTCCCTACAGCTTAACTAGATCTGTGTGGGCTGAGAACAGCTGTTAGCCAGTGGTGTGACTCTCTCTCTCATACAGGGAGTATAATATCGCAAAGTAGACAGGAAATGCATGGTAGTGTAGTGTTGATGAATAGATGCTACGTGGTGAGAGGATTGACGCAGCTAAGCTTTGGGTGTTTAAGATGACATATTACATTATCCCCCTGTCCCCCTAATGTGCTTTTCTTTTTTAATTCCTGTCATCATCACCACCAATGTCAAGTGCAAGTGTGCACACATTCATGCCTGTGTGTGTTGGCTCATTTACGAGCATGTGTGTGTGTGTAAGTAAATGCATGTGTTTACGTGTGTCTCGCTCTCAGTTTGTGTGTGTCTCAGAGAGCGAGAGAGAGAGCGAGCGAGCGAGATGCTGTCGCTCAGTCTGACAGGTATAGTGCTGTGGAGCAGAGGCTGGCACACCCAGAGATGCGGCAGCTCTCTCTTCCACTGTGTCCTTGCCCATTCAACCCAGGCTGACAGTGAGCTGCCTCACACATGGCCTGGGCCTCATGCATATGGAGGAGGGCAGGGAGAGGGAAAAAAAAACTAGAACAACAACTATCTGTGTATGTGTGTTTGATGTGTTTATTTCACACAGGTGTATGTTAATGGTACATATCACAGCCGACCACTTGATTGTTTGTTTACCTTCATGTGTCTCTGGTCTCGAACTAATGCATTCCTCCTCTCCTCAGTTAATCCCGCAATTTTTCTTCCTGAGTGTGGGCATCACAGGGGCCACCCTCTATCTGATTCGTCTGGCGAGAGGACCTCATGTCATGTAAGACTGTCATCTTTCTACACTTAGAGCCATTGTAGTCTTAATCATGTAATCTTCCACCTTGCTTTTGATATTGTGAGATTTCACAGAATGTTCCAATCCAGTCAGCTGAATCCAAACCTTGCATAAATTAAGCTGCATTTCATTCGATTTAACGCTGCCAACAGAGTTGGGTTCCGATAGGTGGTCCCCTTTTGGATCTTGGTCCAGGTTGGCAATATGGGGGTGTAATAAGATTAAGATATACTTTATTAATCCCAGAGGGGAAACTCAATGTTTTTTTCCACTCTGTTATTATTATGTTATAATTTTACACACAGGTCCAAAAGACACACACATGCACAAAAAGGACCCATAGCAACACACAGAGAGATGTCAGAGTGAGGGGGTTCAGGGGCTTGTTCAAGGCCTCCTTCGGCAGTGTCCAGGAGCCGAACTGGCACCTCTCCAGCTACCAGTCCACACTCCGCAACTCTGGTCCGAACTGGATTCGAACCAGCAGTTCTCAGCGTAATCCTTACGGACTGAGCTACTGCCGCCCCAACTGCCTGAAACTGTTGATTGGTTGGTGAAACTGTTTGAAATGAATAGGCCTATAGGGCGGCTGTGGCTCAGGAGGTAGAGCGGGTTGAAAACTCTATGGAAAATAACACTATTTTATTAAGCAAATCATTAAGCTTAAGTCATTTAGCCAACAACAAGCCATATTTCTTTTAATTCATCGACTGAATGTTTAGCCTAAATAAATGTTTAAACACAAGCGGAATGCATTTGGTATATAATATAATCTCCTTTCAAAATGGGGGAATCCAAATTGGTACCTGGGTCATCCCGGTGTGTGTGTGTGTGTGTGTGTGTGTGTGTGTGTGTGTGTGTGTGTGTGTGTGTGTGTGTGTGTGTGTGTGTGTGTGTGTGTGTGTGTGTGTGTGTGTGTGTGTGTACGCCAGTGACGTCACTAATCAGGAGAGATTATAAGGGAGTGGAGCTCCTGTGTCCCCTTTCCTCTGTTGCATAAGCATTGTGCCAAAGTGTTTTTTTACCCACCAAAAGGAACATCACTGTCACACTGACTTAAATTTAATTTTCTAGCTTTTCTGTCATTATTTTCCTCCTTTTCTTCCTACAGTCAGTACATATTAATATTAAAGCGGGGCGTTTCACTGACCATTTATAGGCAACTATGGGCGTTTGAAAGATTGTACATGGAGCTTCCTCCCTCCCCTCATGCGCCACATTTCAAGCTAATTGTGTTTACATCACATTACTTAGAAGTGTACGTACACACAATTTTATAAGTTTGAATATTTTTGGTGTACGCCATTTTTGTCTTTTGGGTATATGTATACTTTTAGTAAGGTTTCTACGCACAGTTTTATAAATGAGACCCCAGAGCTGGGGGATCCTTCAAAAACATTTAGATCTACTGTATGGGAGCATTACAGTTTCCAGCTTAGTTACCTCAAACACATCCTCAGCATTTTTGTACTGCAAGTTTCTTACTTATTGGCCAATATCTCTGTGGTGAGTTAACATCTGCAGAAAATTTCAGCCAATTGATTTATAGATTGGATGTAATGATTGTATGACTAAATTCAAGTTCATGTTACTACATTCAGTTTCAAGTTTATTGGAATACAGCTTCAAACTAATAAATTCAATTTCAAATTATGCTATTCAGATTCAGTTTTTAATGAGATTATTCAAATTGAGGAATTTAAATTCAGATCTAAATTAATCAAATTCGGTTTTTACTGACACAAATATTAGCCCATAGTTGGGCCTTATTACAAAAGATGAAAGTGAAGCCTTTGATAAGGGATTTGAAAAATATTTGGATTAAATAAGCACATATTACGAGTTCAATGACTTTAATACTAGAATCAAAACAAAGATTTTTTGATAGCTACAGTTGTTGAATTAAAGATAATAAAAAATATGGCTGGCTGTGTTAGATTTTCGTCTCTCAGTTGCACCAACCACACTAAATTCAGTCTCTGAACACATACTGTAAAATGTGCACGGTTCATGTCCTATTTTGGACCACACAGAACCACTTGTTCTGGAGGTCAGCCATAAAGCCTGACCTCATCACCAGCTGGTGATAAGTGCTGTGGTCAGTGGCTGCCTCTCTCTCAGAGACTATCTAGTGTTTGTGGTAATGGAGAGACGGGGGGAGACATGCCCGCTCTGCCATCAGTCTCTCTGTCTTTTTGTTTGTGCTTTGGTGGCATGACGTGCTGCCAGAGGGGGGAAGAGGAGGGATGGACAGTCGCAGTGGAGTGCTGTGAAATCCAGACTTTGGTTAATGAACAGAGGAGCACTGCCAAGTCACTGGGCTGAGTTCACCTCATCTCATAATCACCCCCCCACTCATGTCTCCATCCAGCATCTATGTATTTATCTCCCTTTGTCGCTGTCCTTCTGTTCCTTTGTCTTTTTCCTCCTATTTGTTTAGATCTCGGCCTGTTTCTCTTCCAAGTCGTTTTCTCTGCATCTGCAGTTTATATTGCTTTTAGCCTACATCATATATGCCTCTATCATCATGCATGCCATTCTCATACTCATGTTCTGAATTTTCTCTTCGTTCTTCATGCCCTGAATCTTTCCACATTTGCAGCTTCTGGGACAAGAAGAACAACCCAGAGCCCTGGAACAAGCTCGACCCAACCTACCAGTACAAGGTAATTACTCTCCTGTCACAGACTCTGCGGCCATATGCACGCTCACACCAAACATGTCTTCCAGAAAACTAATCTAGATAAGAATAGAATTGTTTCATTGAGTCACTGAAAATCTCATTTCACCATCATCACTTAAAAACTTACCAAAATAGATTTGGACCATCCAATTCTGGAAAAATGTCAGATCAATATGGCTGCTTCCTGGCTTTCTTCACATCTGTTCAAATAAAAGGGAAAATAAAGTGTCTTTCAAAAACAAATTAAGGCAGATGGAAACGGAAGCTTTTAGTGGTCTGTATTAATTTGCCTTACCCTCTTGAACAGGGCCAGAGCCACAGACAAACTAATGAAAATATTAACACTGATCCAAAATAGAGCAGAAAAACAACCAACTGACAGGTCCCAGAAGAGGAGATCTGGATGATGTGTTTTTCAGAGAAAAGATCATTTTCTGAGGGTTTCAAGGCTGCACTGCTTGCCAGTGGAATGAAAGTCGCTTCAGACAAAAAGGTCAGGACACGGCATGTTTAATTCTCGATAACAAGGCAAAGGTCTCGCATCGAAATTCCGTTGAAGTCCAAACAATGATCGTAATGAGGGGGGGGGGGGGGGGGGGGGGGGGGAAAGAGGGGAGGGAGAAGGCTGGGGGGGGGCACAAGGGTTTTAATGGCAGACCAATCAAGAAAAATATTCAGGGAGAAAAATAATCACTGCCAGTGCAAAAATATGTGTTTATCGTGGTTGAAGGGATGTGATGAATGCGGAACACGTCCATGCAGTCACACAACATATCATCCATGATGATGACGACAGGCGGGTAACAAATTAAAGGACAAACCTGAATAAATAATGGTTCCACACTTCACTGTATGGGTACAATTAAGCAATTAACATCCAATCATCATCATCATCATCATGTGACATACATACAAATGCTGAGCAGGTCCAGATTATACTTTTGTATCAAAATTGCAAGACAAAAACATCTAGGTGACTTTGAAGGAGGGTTCATTGTTGGGGGCACGGATGGCAGGAGATTCAGTCACAGACTGCTCAACTGGCGAGTGTTTCAATCAGAACAGTGACTAAAGTGACATCTGCAATTAGATCTTACAGAAAGACATCAGTAAATAGGGTTGGGCGATGTCTACAAAATTTCCATCGCACGATGTCTGCTATGTCATCGGTGCGGGGCAGCAGTCGTCTTATGTGCATACATGCGTTCTCGCACAAACTTCAGAGAGGCAGGGCAAGACACACACACACCTACATTTGAGAGGTGTGTGTGTGTGTGTGTGTGTGTGTGTGTGTGTGTGTGTGTGTGTGTGTGTGTGTGTGTGTGTGTGTGTGTGTGTGTGTGTGTGTGTGTGTGTGTGTGTGTGTCAAAGCATGGGGAGAAGAGAATTCCGAGGCAGGTGCAAAGAATACTGTGGTCATTAAAAGCTGCTTTCACAGGACGTGAAAATTTTAGATTTTTTTTTGCTGGGGGCGCGAGGGTTTTACAAGCACATCAACGTCGTGATGTCTGTCAGCCATCGCCAATGGACAATGGCATTGTCTATCGGCTGGGGTCCAGGGAGAGTAGACAGGATGAGCGCTATTTCCAGTGGCGTAACAATTCTGCAAATTTCAATTTTAACTTTTAGGATAGCCTACTAAATGTTCTTATTTTATTTTAACATGTTTGTTAGTTTGTTGTAGCCTACAGTTTACTGAATAATTAATAAAATGTAGGCCATTTGTTTGTGTTGATCAGTAATGCAATTGTAAAATTTATAAACCACATAACTGCCACACTGCCATTGTCATCACTCAATTTAAAGTGCTCCCACACAGCTTCGGCATTTTCTTTTCCCTTTGATGTGAACTGGAGCTTTACATTCACTGCAGTGAGAGGGATGTCAGGCGTGCAGGGAAAAAACCTTGAATATTCGGGTCCAGCCCTACAATTCACCCATCCATATGGCACGAGAGGCCACTGAATGGTTTGAGTAAGAAAGTAATGTGAATCATATCATGGTAGATTGGTGTGTTTGGGTGAGTGCGTGCATGTTTGTGTCTATATTTGCACTAGTGGAAAAAGAAAATGTTCACCCCTGCGACTGTTTTCCTCCCCACGTTCTCCTAAAGACAGCACTGATGAATTTAATTTAAGCAAAACAGATTTAAATGTATTCCTCCTGCCTTCCACAGTTTTTGGCGGTCAACACAGACTACAAGAACCTGAAGAAAGATGGCCCTGACTTCTAAAGGTCCTCCAGGCAACTCCAGGGGCACCAAGTTTGGCTTGACCCCCTGCTGTGGCCTCAGTGATGTGAAACGTCTTCCTGAACATTTGCTCAGTCTTACCTCATGCTCCACGACAAGAGCTCTGAATTAACACTAACCTGCGAACAAAAACTAATAAAAGGTCATGTGAGATATAAGGCTGGTTCTTTAGTGCATGAGTATATACACAAGGTGGTACTTATGTTTGCTACTTTACTATTTATTTAGATGGTCCATATTCATCATAAAATATTTCACTTGGTGGATATTGGCCGAGAGGTCATAAGTTAGGGTCTGATACTGAAAAGCAAGTTTAGAACTAGTAATGATGCCAAAAGTCTTTCTTTAAAGCATTTCACATTTCGTAACCAAGAAAAGAACAGTGGTGAGCAAGGTCTGCAGCTCAAAGATAAGTGACACGACCAACACAACATCAAACTTCATCCGTTACTACAGAACCCATAAAGAAAGGTACGTTACGTGACTGTGGCTTTTTAGCTAACTTATAGGCTGTTCAAACGCATAGAAAGCTAGCATTAAGTTTATCCAGTTGTTTGGCTGCAGTTTGGTGCTGTTGTAACTTTATGTGACCACCTCCTAACATCCCTGGTGATAACAGGTCCTGATGACAGCTTTTTTTATGTGCCCACAACTGCTATGTTAAGTTCATACTCATGATACACCGTTTGAAAGCTAAAATCCTGGTGATCCTCATAGTAACTTAATCCACCGATAGATTATATTCCAACAAAAATGGTAACGTCAAATCCAGTAAAAACATTTAGTCCAAAACACATTATTCCATCAATAAATCCCCAGTGTCTGCTGCTGAATAGTTTCATATTTGCCGGCAGACATGGCTAGTTTGTCATTATAACTGTAATAACTCCAATTTGGATGCAAACAAATTATGCAATCTCATGTATTCAAGTTAGCCACTGAACTCTGACCTTTCGACTGACTGCTATTTCGACCAAATAGGAGCTCACATCACATCCACAGCCTACAACAGCTAACGAGAGCCCGCGCTGTAAGGAAGGGCCAGCCCCTATTATTTGGTGGGTAGGCAGAATGAATTGCAACCAATTGTGCCAATGACTGGCACTTTTTAAAATTTTGAAAATAACGCTATCCAACTTTAAGTAGGAAGTTCATGGTCTACCAGCAAAAAAAAAAACAAAAACACATCTGCGTCAATCTACAGCGTGATGCAACAGCAGTGTTGTTTTTGAAGCAAAAAACAACTAAACAAAAAACTGTAAAATATAAATTTTTCATGGCATTGGTATAAAATTTTTAATTTCACAGTAATGGTAAGAAAGAGGTTACCATAACTGACAAGTGTTTCTTTTACTCCATTTTTCTACCCCATTTCAATAATCAGTGAAGCCTATAGTAGACTAAATAATATAAAACCTGTGTATAGTTCAATATAGTTTGATCATTTTGGAAGATGTGAGAACATTGTGTGTTTCTGTTCTTACAGTTGAATTGCCACCTCTCAAACGGTTTAAACAAACTAAATTCCTAAGAATTTCATATGACTTGACTTGTGACTTGCTTGTCTTTCAAAGTAACTTGGGACTTGCTTGAGATTTGGATATTTGTGACTTACTCCCACCTCTGGAAAATAGTGGAGCATTTAGCAGCTAAAAAGACATATTTCCCTCAGACGTTGGTGCAAACTAAAACAAAACTAAAAGACAGTACAGCCACTGGCCTCAATCTGGAGGCGAGTGAATTTTGTAAAACCATGCTAAATTCATTTAAAGCGGTTTCTTTTCCGGTATGTCTCTCTTGGATGACACAGCTTCCACGTGCTTTTGAGAGAAAAGTTTTTTTAAACTGAATTTTGGCCCTGCTCAGGAAGTGATTCTACATTAAGTTACACATACTCTCAGGCAGCAATAGTTGTGCTGTTAATTTTGAGTGATCTATTATTTTAACAATCAATATCTAAAAGGGATATGTATGTTAGGCAATACCCTGAAAGGAATTTTGGGAGAATAGGGAGCTGAAAACAAATGTAAGAAATTAAAGCATATTAGATTAATCAATCAAGAATATTGAAAAAATCTGCTAAACATATTAAACAGTTATTCGGCACACTTCTGGGCCACTCTCTGGGAAATATTTACAAAGTGTCCTGCTTTGTAAAATACAGTGGAGACATTAAAGACAATCTAGTGCCAATATCTCACAGGTTCTTAAAAGTTTGTTGTTATGGAAAGGCTCAGTCTTATATTTGATAAAACAGTAGAGGACACCTCATCTACAGTAGGTTCTAAAGGTTAAGGACAATATCCTGGCTCACTAAGCCACCCTGCTGCTAAACTAATAAAAGTCTGTGACATTTCTATGCACACCATGAACAGCCAATATCTGTTAATGAACTATTAACACAAAATCAAAATCTTGCTTTTAATTTCCAGGGGAAAAAAACATTTACGGAGCTCATTACATCACAAATCCAGCTCTTCTAGGACAAGTAAGTCACACATGCTGAGATATGATGTTGCAGATGAAGAGGACCAAAATAGAAATCAATCATGAGAGATGAAGATTTGTGTGGGTCATAGAGTTCTTTTAAACTAGTTTTCAGTCCCAGAAAGATGCAGTCCAAAGAGACACATCACTGAAGGGTTTGATCACTGCTTGTCTGTAAAAACCAAAACATTAATTTTCCACTTCGGTATGAAGCAGGAAAATGACAAGACTCCGAATCAGTAGTTTCTCCAAATATGCCTCCTGCTGGCTTAAGTCTCCCATGTTGGAGAGTTCATTGAATGATAAATGTTTGTCTGTGTGCTGTGCGCCCGTGTGTGTGTGTGTCTCTCTCTCACACACACACACACACACACACACACACACACACAGTATCACTGGACACCAAACAACATAAAATCCCGCTCTAATGGCACACAAACTGTCTCAATGTCAGACCCCTGG